GTTGCTGTTGCTGTTGCTGTTGCTGTTGTTGTTGTTGTTGCTGTTGCTGTTGCTGTTGCTGTTGGTGTTGCTGTTGCTGTTGGTGTTGCTGTTGCTGTTGCTGTTGCTGTTGCTGTTGCTGTGGTTGTGGTTGTGGTTGTGGTTGTGGTTGTGGTCGTGGTGGTTGTGGTCGTGGTGGTTGTGGTGGTGGTGGTTGTGGTGGTTGTGGTTGTGGTATGTGGTGGTGGTGGTGGTATGTGGTGGTTGTGGTGGTTGTGGTTGTGGTATGTGGTGGTTGTGGTATTGGTATGTGGTGGTTGTGGTTGTGGTATGTTGTGGTGGTGGTGGTGGTGGTGGCTGTGGTGGTGGCTGCTGTGGTGGTGGCTGTGGTGGTGGTTGTGGTGGTGGTTGTGGTGGTGGTGGTGGTGGCTGTGGTGGCTGTGGTGGCTGTGGTGGCTGTGGTGGCTGTGGTGGCTGTGGTGGCTGTGGTGGCGGTGGTGGCGGTGGTGGCGGTGGTGGCGGTGGTGGTGGTGGTGGTGGTGGTGATGGTGGTGGTGGTGGTGGTGGTGTGGCGGCGGGGGCTGTTGCCGTTGCGGTTGACGTGGTGCCTGCATCATGAACGACATGGGTCTTCGTAAGACGGGAAGTATGACGCAACATGATAACATGACTTTCAAAACAGCTGGGTCAAAACGAGCAGCTTTACTTTCTCTCGGAAGTCCACGGCGGCTTTCGAGAGCCTGGAGACTTGCCATCCTATCTCTTGTTTGGTTCGCGAGATCTGCCGGACAGGCCTTTCCATGCAGGAGGGCTTTGGTTTCGGCTCTTCGACAAGGGACACTTCGGACCTCTGAGGGACTCCGAGCTCAGGGCAAGGGAATCAGTGTCCAGCGACGTCGCAAACGCTCAGCTCACAACAGCTCTCCGTCAGGAACTCGACCGTCATCGGCCTGGCTGGCGGCAGGCTGGCCTGTGGCTGCAAGCACGCAGGAACTCGCCAGCCTTCTCTAGCTCACGGGGAACGCCCATCCGCGTGAGCCGCTTTTCGTGCAGCTGCTGCCTAGGGCAGCGGCAAAGCTAACGTGCGAGGCGCATCGGGCAACGATGGGGCGACTGAGCCACGTGCTCACCCAGCAAGGGCAACTTCCGCTTGCGGTTCGTCCCGGGCAAACACTCCCTGGCCAGTGCCGAGATGTCCCGAGCACTGCGAAAGCACTGCGAAAGGGCCGGGCAGGAGTGGCACCACAGCCGAGCCCAGGTGCTGACCATCCTGCTCAATGGATCTCCATGGTCAATGGGCCAACCCAGGTGAGGCCAAGGGCCCAAGTGGCGCCTCCGCGCGACCTGGCCCATCCACATCCCATATGTCGAAGACCTCACAGGAAGCATGGAACAAAAGAGATTGCACACCGACGAAAATAGAATTGGAGGATGAGAACCCAGGATCCTTCTCGAAACACCGTCTAAACTCAAGAAAACATCAAATCTAGCATATGTTGACAACTTCTCTGGCCAGTTCAGGAATAACACGTGGATGTTGTTTGCGACAGAATGCACGGCTCGAAGGAACCTCGAATTCGGTGGAAGTCCGAAAATGCGTCTCTGCGCCCTCCCCACATTAAGGCATGAAGTTTTTCCAGATCCTCTGAACCCGCACACGCCCACATGCCCACGACCATGTCCAATCAGTGATGCGCGTGGAGTTGGTGCCGACACTGGCATGTCCGAGTGTGCGGCGAGAAGCAGTGGTTGATCGAGAAACTCGAACTTCTGGCCGCACATCTCAGCAGGAGCGCAGGGGTGCTCAGCAGCGCATGTGCTTGGGGGACCTAGTCGAAGACAGGGTGAGGCCTCGTCCCACCTGGGATTCAGATTATCCTTGATGGTCTTCGTGCGGTGCAACTCTCGAACCTGAACTGCACAGGGTAAAGCTATCAAAGTAGTGAGAGGTAAACTCTTTGTTCGCCTGGCCTCACCATTCACCATGATGAGTCGCACGACACACTGCGGATCACTCGAACCCACCAGGTCCGCATTCGGGAGTGCCTGAAAAAGATGCTTGCAGCGCTAGCAGCTCTGCGAGCATGTTTTCAACGTTCTCTCGTATCGTCTGCTCGCCTCAGAGCATTACGAAAGCCGCGCCTTGGCCTCGACGACTTTCACAGACACCTGGCAGGATGATCACTGCTGGGGCTGAGGTGCGTGAGAGTATGTTTAGAAGCAACAAGATCGGCAAGGGCCAGAAACTAAGAATCGACAAGTTGACATATAAGATCGAGCACAATCGCATAACAAGAGCATGCAACACTACCTTCACTGAAGCATATGACCAGTGGGCCCTTATGGCTTCTCTGAGCCTCGCGGATGTACTCCAAGAACTCCAGGCTCTCGATCAAGAGGTCCATTTGAGGCTTCGGCTTTGGAACCACTTCCTGCGCCGATGGCCCGCAGCAAATACTCTCCCTCCAAGAATCGCTGGTGTCGTGGCAACCACTCGACTACAACATGATCTGCATGCCCAGAACGTGTCATCAGAAATCAGACCAAGGAGGAATCCTTGTAGACGGTGACCACAAGCGTAAGCCGTGGTTTCTTGCCCTTCGCCTGTCGCAATATGTGGGTATTGAATTGAAGGCGACATGAGAGTGGCAGCGACGCACCACAGACACAGATTCACAACCTCTCCCCGCTAATGGATTCAGCTTCCGCTTCAGGGGGAGAATATGTAGAGTTACACAGGCCCGTGCCTTGTTCACGGGCACCCCCGCCAGCTCCAATTCATGAGTAAGCGCACCTGCGGCTGTGACATGCGTCCATTCCCGCAATCCCCTGCCGGCGACTTCTTTGGTGGTTTCCATTGCAGCCGAGAAGCGGCCAGTCACAGCATTGGAAAGGTCAATGTCACCTGGACGAGTAATGCTCTCGAAGTAGCAGCGGCATCCGGCATCATCCCACTGTTGCTGCTTCAGCTGTCTGAGCTGACCCTGGATACTCCAAAGAAATCATGCTGTCCTTCGTGACAAACGTGTTTGGCTGCAGGCGAGAGGCATCCACCGAGGAAATCTTCGGTGCCTGCTGAGCGGATGGCAGAAGACACTTCGACTGTGAACTCCATAAGACAAGGGCTGGCCTAAAAAGCTGGTCGTGTTGTCATCTGCATCGAACACCGTAGCCTTTGCATGCCGAGTCCACCACGTGGAAAGTAGGCGAAGACAAAATTTTAAAGTGTCACCCGACAGATATCAGATGTGGAGCTCCCCCCATCCCACTTCCCTTCCTAGTTCCTAGTCGAGACCCTTGGCGATTCGTGTTCTTCGAGTTCTCTTTGCCCAGCTCTTTTGCTTGGCACAAGGACAGCCCCTGCAGATGTGTACGCACTGAGACTCTTCGTGCCACGACAAGGCTTGTCTCTTGCTACTGTCGATTTGACACAACAGGCCAGCTTTGTATTGATGTGTTGAAGACCAATTGGTTCTTCGCACATTGGTGCGCGATGTTGTCTGGAACGGAAGTTGCAAGCCCCGTCGTCACAAGACTCTCCAGCGTCATATTTCTATTTTTTGACAAGACTCGGGATGTGTTGAGACACGACTTCAAGAACTTGCTCGATCGGTCAGGCTACCGCCCGACAATTGCTGTGACCCCCTGCTTCGCTTCACTCTGCTTCACTGTTGCCCGCTTTTTCGTGATGATGATCCCTCTTGTAGCCTTATGCTAGACGCATCCCTGCTCGCCAGTTCTCTCATGTCCCATGCTGTGAGAGTCCGCCCCTGCCATCTCGAGAGAACTTCCAAGGGAACGGAAGGGCTTTTGGGCGGCCCACCTTCAAGCCGACCAGCTCGACCAACCCCCACTCGGGTGGGATGCGGTAGTCGAACTCCTCCTGTAGCCGGGGATGAAGTTGCACCGACAATTTGCTCAATTGAAACTTCGCCGGTCGCGTTCTCTCCTCCCATATTGGGGAGAGCGAGTTCCTCAGTTTCTGAGACAGAGGTGCGGTGCTGAAGGCCTTTCTGCCCACTACAAGCCGCTGCTTTCCGTGGCACCAAGGCTCTGCACTGTTCTGGTGCAATAAATGTTGACCATGTGGTTGTTGGACCGGATGCCCTCTCGCGCAGGCGAGGTCAAGGATATAGGATATCTACACGGGCGCCTTGACCACACAGTACGGATCCGACTTTCCTGTTGCGTCGGTATTCCTCGGGCGGGATCGCAACTCACAGCGTCGGAGCGTGAAAGCGGACATCAAGGCAGACAGGTCTCGGCAAACCTCGAGCACCGACGACTCTCCCAATGATCCTCACATGGTACAGCTTTGCAAGCTTGAAGCATGGCTTCTCTTCTCTGGCACTGTGTCCCTTCGTCCCGGGCCTGTAGATGCGGCTGAAATGCCCCGGTGGCAAGACTTGCTTCTGTCGGCTCATGGCGCTTCCAAAGCCACTTCGTCCGCCGTTTTAGGTTTTCGCGGAGGTTCCTTCCTTGGCCACGCCATGCCATGCCATGCCATGTATTTTCATTGACTTAATGTCCGTCGGTGACGAAGTCTGCGATGTCTTCTACAGGACCAGGCTGGGGCGGGCTTGGGCTTGGGCTGTCCTGCAGCTCTGCGGCGGCATCTCGGAAACGCTTCAGGATGCCATCGATCAGCAATGAGTCGACGAGCTCGTGCTGCCAACCCAGAAGACCGGTAGTCGCGTTTGTAAAGCTGCTGTTGAGGGTGAGTCTAGGTGACACAGGATTTGGAGCACAACGGCGAAGACTTTGAGCCTGGGTCAAAAAAAGGCCATGTGCGGTTCTCATCTTCTGTCAACAGCAGCACGGGTCAGAGATCATCTTTTCAACTGCTCCCTGCAGTAAGGCCCCGCGGCAGTGCTGTCAGCTTGACTGCTAGCACACACCCAGAGCCCAGAACGCAAAAGACGTACCGATGCTGCTTGCAAATCTTGGCCTTCAACACGAGACGACTACATTTGGGAACGTGACTCAGGCTTAGGCTAAACGACTAAGCCAGCCTGCGACAGCCGATCCGTTAAGCAAGCCATCAGTTTGCTCCTCAAGGAGTCTCGGCCTGAACTCCCTACAGTTCACGGCGGAAAGGACAGAGCAAGCTGTAGCTAGGCTACGGCTAATTCACACAAGAGGCTACAACACTTCACAAGGTCTCTGCTCACCTGATGGCAGATTTTCTGCAGGGCAAGCCCCTCTTGCTGCACTGAGCCCGAGACTGTCAAACAGGAAAGGCTTCAAACGCCTCCAAGCTGAATACACCACCTGCTGCTCTGAACGGGTAGATCGCTGCAGTCTTTCAAGAAGTCAAAGTGTTTCTGTCGCCTCCAATGAGTGCTATGAGCATGGACCTTGAAGACCAACTGAGGAAAATTCACGAGAATACAGAGTACGGCGTTGGCCGATGAGCCGCGAACAACGGCGAGACTACGCTGTCCGTCCTTCCAATGCAAGCCTGCAGAGCCAAGCAAACTGAAATCTCTCGCTACAAGGGGAACATGCAGGGTCCTTATATATCCCTCTGTCCCTCCTGCTCTATGTGGAGACTCGGTTCTCGCTGCGCTGCCTCACCATCCTCCTTGGAGCAACTCACAGAGCCAACGCGGCCAAACTCACTTCAATCATTGAGTCGACAGACTTGCACAACGCCGGGATGCCGCAGAGACTCGTGTATTTGGCTGGAAGCCAACAGGTTATTCCCTGGTTCTAGGCAGGCATTTGGCCTCGGCATCGCAAATCAGCAGGCATGCTTGCAAGAAAAGGCGCGGCGAGCACAGATCCCTGCAGCGCCGCTCCAGCTCCGATCTCTTCGTTCGGCATGACCTGTCTTTCTTCAAGTCAAAACAGAAGCAAACTGCTTCAAGGCCGGCCTTGAAGCAGAAGGGCATGAAAAGCACCTGCACGGCATCCCCTTTACCAGATTAAAGGGGGGGGGCTCCAAGCTTTGTTGCATGCCATTCCAGCAGAGGCACGAAACAAAGCAACACAATAACCTCAAATCACGATCATAACACTCCTCAAGTGCTATGACATTCTGGCGCATGGTCAGAAAATGCCGAGGTCGAGCGGCATATGAAGCTTCAATGGTACGGGTAGTCTGCTTCGCAAGCCACATGCGTGACCTAGCAAAGGGTGCATGGACGGATTCACCAGCATACCGCGCAGTCATACCGCGCAGTCAGGTACGTAGGCTTGCTGCGGGTGCGACGCAAGCAGCTCTGTTTCTAGTGTTGTAGAAAGGCAAGTAGTTTGCCTCAGAATCGACCACACGGCCTGGTCAACATCACGTTTCTTCCAAGCATTTCTCCCTTTGAGCAAAGCGCTGACCACGGCGTGGATCTGAAATGGAGCACAGGCTCTGAGCCAAGATGGCTTGGCTCGGCACCGAAATTGGGAAGCATACTTGCCACAAGACAGAACAGTGAGCGCCTGTTGTGGGGCGGCTCGTTTTAGCTCAGGCAGGTCTTCTGCTCGCCCGCTCGCCGAATTGGATTAAGGCTTGCTCTTGCACCAACTTTTGCAAGGCCACCTTCATCCACCCGACAGAACCCAACAAGAGATGAGACACAAGATGGCAGCAACAAGACCACGAAAGGCCAATGAGATCAAAAGGATTGCTAGCCAAAATTCATCACAGCTGGTCAGCTCCCACAAGTGTTACAAGTGGTGGCTTCGCGATGCAAATGTGTGCCTCAGAGGTCTGTTCTCAAAATTTGAGTTTCGACCTTGATCGAACCACAAGACACGCAAACGTCTGGCAGACAACATCGGTCTCACTGTCTCTTGCTCCATCGCATCACTCAGATTCAACAGTTGAAACTCAAAAAAGCGCACAAAACGCTTGCCATCGCCTCATACCAATGCCTCTGAGCTGTACGGCCGCGTAGAAAGCTGTACAAGCTCCGGGCAGCTCCAGTAAAGGTTTAAGACTGTTAGGAGCTCTTGTTGGAAAAAGTAGCCGCCACAGAGACACGTGCCATCTGATCTAAGTTCCCAGGTGAAACAAGATCCTCCCTCCACCATGGAGGCAGATCGAACACATCTGCCAGGAACCCGCTCCGAAAATGCCGCTTGTTTCCGGTTGCTCTCTGGGATTCTGTTTGCCGTCCGATTTGCCTCTCGGTGAAATACTCCCGGGATTGGACCCGGATGGCCAAAGCGCACCGAAGCATCTGAGTGCTCAGACGCTTCATGTGCAATGTGGACTCTGGCACATTTCCAAATCCTAGGCCGTTAGGCCTCGCGTCTTTCGCTGAGCTTTCACCTGAGCATCGGGGAGAACAGGCCACGAAATTCGACTGTTAACGAAATCATTGCAATATCCGGAAAGCTATTCTCCCAAACCAAAGCCGAGCAGCCCCACGCCGCCAGGAGCATCTTGGAATGCAAACCAGCGTATGGGATTGGCGTCACGCACGTCTTTACAGGACGCAAAAGACGTAAAGCCCGACTCAACTGCTGAAAATACAAACACACGAATGCGACGCCAAGACCACCTTTCCACGAGACTCGTAGCCCTTGCCAAAGCAGACTTCACCAAAAACTGTACTTAACGTGAGGCTGCTTGTTGCGCCATTGCTCTGAAACAACGGCTGGTAAGCTAGTCATCGCTAGTTCTGCTTTCTCAAGGGACACCTCAAGATGTAACACTGCCAAGGCAGTGTCAAAATTCATGGATGCATGCATGGCACTGGATTTGAAGCATGGGCCTTGGACGAAGATGCACAAGTTGCTTGCGCTCTCGCCCTCAAGGCTCACTTCCAAGCTGAGTCGACTGTGATACAGCATGTAGGAGAGGCAGCTGCCGGCAGTAATCAAAAAAGCTGAAAAGAAAGCTGCGGCGGCAGCAGGCCTCTCTCATGTTTCTGGCTCTGGCTTGAAGCTACAACTTGGCACCTTCGTGCACTTCTTGGAACTGCAGAGCTCTCTGGCTGTCGCACTCCTCATTACCCATGCTCCGAGCTATGCTCAGAAAGAAACAAGAACCTGCAAGGCAGGCCAAGTGAAACCACCCGGGCTTGCTAGAGCCCCGGGCGCAAAGGAGCCTTGGCTGCAGACGTTTGCGCTGAATCCCCATGCAGAGGAGCAGAGAGGTCCCCAGGAGCCGAGCTGAGCTTCACCTCGGCACCGAGCTCGGTCCAGAGCCCCGCCACAGCTCGGGGAAGGGTCCTCGGAGCAAAACCCCCAGAAACCTCGCCTCTCTGCTTTACGTGACATAGTTCATGAGGACGCCTGGTTGAAAGGAGTGGGTGTGCTCACTGCGGTGAACGACTTCAGGCGAGTCTTTCCAGAGATGAGCTTCAACCTCCAAAACCTTTCGTGCCTCTCGACTGCAGCTGAGGTTCCGGACCCCACCTCTTGCCACGGTGCCAGGCAAAATCGCGGGCTCCACAACTCTGTATGGAAATTCTTTACAGTGGCAAAATTGAGCAAAGTTCGCTCGGGTTTCCTATGCTCTTGGCCACTTGGCGGAGGAGCAACGTGCGGTTTGCTCCTCTGCACATTGCAAAGTGGATTCGGCCCTGTCTCATGCGACGACGCAAAGAAGGACCAGGGGAGGTTAGAGCGCGAGCACCTCAGGAAAGTCGGAAAGGTTACAACTGGGCATCCCGCAGCGGCATCGTCCTGAGGGCAGAACCGCTGGCGGCGACAACGTGGGCTTGAGGTGGTCCCACGGATTCTGGCGAGGACACAGCTTGCAGAAAAGAGGACTGACTGACTTCTTGGCCCTTCAAAGCCTGCCTCATACCCTGTGCTCTCCGTATCACATGAAGTTGTTGCCACGGAGATTGAGCTGCTGGTTCTGCTCAGATGACTCACATGCGGCCTGTCACAAGAGCTTAAACCTGTCCCCACAAGTCAACATGAACACATCTCATGGCATAGGGCATAGAGTCCATGTCAGGCACACCGCTTCAAGGGATGAGGCATCGTCATGGACAGCAGGCGTTTGATGACCTCTGCGAATCTTTTGATATGCTTGGGCTTTGCCGCATCTGACCGCTGGTTGCCTTGTCCAGATCGCATGCGAAATTTGTGTCGTCCGTCCTTCGACTCGCTCAAGAATCAAGGAAGCTTTGACTTTAAGCGTAAACCAAGCACCACACCGCACAGCGTGCAGGCTTTGGAGGAGCGAGACGAGTTTGTCCTGTCAGGCACTGCGCACGCACTACGCACGTGCAAGGCAGTCGAATGTCCTTGTTTTTTACGAGGATCTGTTGAATTCGCGCAGGCTTCTGCGGGTTCACCACGAATATCTTGAACCTGGCAGTAAAATAAAGGTGGACGGTGCTCTGAGGAGGAAGACCGAGGCAGTCACACATGAAATGCTTCTGCTTGGATGGCATGGGAATCAGCCAACAGCAGGTTCATGAAGATCCTGCTTGGGCAGGCAGCTTTCTGTCAGAATAGAATTGGACAGAGTTAGGCCGAGGTCATCGCTTGAGGTGCTGCTCGCTGTTGACGAAGCCCATCATAACCCTGCGACGGGTTGGGACACTAAAATATAGCTTCCATCTGGCTCGCCTTGCTCGTAACAGCTACTGTGTGAGCTTCCCAGAAGGCCTTTGATAATTCCTGTCCATCAGCATAGCCGCCAGAAGTGTTAATGCCTCTGTGCTGCGAGCAACGTGCACGCTTGCAGCGACAGTGGGCCGCGTGAGCAGGCCTGCCGCTCCACGACATAATCCTTGCAAAAAAAACCGAGCACACCATCTCAGGTTCCAGGAAGTTCCAGGAACAGTGAGACATGCGTCCTGGCACTGAAGGAGTGGGGTGTAGAGAACGAAGAACCTTCAAGCAAACTCAAAGTATCAAACTTCAAAAAAAAACGCTCAAGGACCGGGGTCCCAGGCTCTTCGTAGTTGGCCTGAAGCCATGGTCCTGAAACCTTTTTGTTTCATGACATAGCTAGCGACTAGTGACTTTCGTGGCAAGTAGCACACATTTCGGTTTAGGACTTTAGGCTGCCTCTTTGTGTTCGAGCATGACGGTTCGAAGTGTGTAGATCCTGCCGAAAGGACAAGGCTATTCTGCTCTGAGCCACTTTCTCTTGAGGCCACCACGCATCCGCTGCCACATCCATGCTGGGGTGCTTGGCGTAGCCTCGAAGCGACGAGCTGCCGAAAACAAGAAACACTCAAGGATGAGGACCAGGCGGATCAAGTCGAAAACCTTTCCACTGGTCAGAAAGCTCTCCACCTCAGGACAGGAAGACACCGCGGGCCAGCGGGCAAGCCCATGCAGGCTCGCTGAGAAAGCGGCCAGTTGCCCGTATCGAAAGAAGGAGCGCAGTACCACGCCCGAGTACAGGGCAGCCTGCACACTACAGTGGTCCAGGCTCGTCGGAGCGCGGCACGGGATACCTCTTCGTTCGCGTAGCTGTCCATCAGCTTCGAGAAGATGGTTGGGTGAAACCGGACGTAATCCATGACCTGCTGAAAATGCTGAAAGCTGACGCCGCACGTGCAAGACAGGAACGGACCTGATGCCGGGCCTGGGCAGCCACCTCTTCGGGCAGGTCCGGCCAGAGGAGGGCGCAGCAGACATTCATCACATCCTTCCAGCGTAGGACAAAGCTGCTCAAACCTGCGCATGCACCAGCAGCAGAGCGCAATGGCTCCTTTCGCACTTCAAACTCCAGGCTGTTGAGCTGCGAGAGCAGCTGTACCTTGAGCTGACATCAACCACTCGCTGAGACCTCTGGCAGTCTGAGCCCCGACTGGCAGATCTGCAGCAAGGAATTGCTCGAGAACACGCAGCTGGTCCTGCGTGACCTCAACGGAACTCGCAACGCATGGAACGGAAGCCCGGCCCAGACCGAGCCTTGACTCGGCCATGAAGTGCATCTGGCTTTCCGTGGGTTTCAGATAGCTCCTCCGAGGTGCAAAGACCGACCGACGCAAGTTGCGCCGGGGAGAGCACTTTTTCACATCGTTTGATCCTTCAAATGTCGGTCCACGGTGTGAAACTGGCACCAATGCGGCCAAGCTCTGGAGCTCTGGAAAAGGTGCTGCGTTGGCGCTGTCTGGACTCCATTGGATGTACTCACCACCACTTTCAGTGGAAAACCGGAAGAGCTCCGGCAGAGAGCTCAAAGCCCAGGCTACAGGGACCAGCCTCGGCGCAGGCGAGCAAGGCGAGCAAGGCGAGAGAGCGATGTGCGCGCCCGCGCCCACAACTGGCCGGCGCGAACCTGAGGTCCAAGCAAACGTGGTCCTGGCCCTTCTTCTCGGCATCGTCGATGTCAAGCCAGAGTCTCTCCTTCCAAGGCTTCAGAACTGGGAGGCCTATGTAGACTTCTTCGCAAACATGCTTAGTCGCCGTCAGGTCTTGTGTCAAACCATCAGGCACAACCACCACACTACTGACCTCGCACCTTGCCAAGAGAGAAACCAGCACCCGTCTATCGAATCACAGCTGTCGCACCAGTTGCAACTTCATTTGCAAGTTCTCGGTCTGAAGCTGCTGGATCAGCCTCAGCTGCAACAAGCCTGCCCTGACTCTTGCCAAGGGCGAAGACCTTGAAATTGCAGACCGGCGTCTTCGGATCGTACTCTCGTGTAGTGGTCTCACGGAGAGTCATCTCTCGCACGGTGGTCTCCTTGAGAAGCATGAATGAAACTCTTCTGGAGAAATCTTACGAAGGGCTTTGGATGGCCTTGATCTTTCCGGACCCATCTCCTGCTGCAACCCAAGCACAAGAGATCGCAAAAATGAAGAACGGGTGGGTGCCTTGCTGGAAAACCTGGGTTTGGCGAGACCACCGATCAGCTTCCGGTGGACTTGCCACGACACCAGCTTCGGCACCGGGGCGAACCAAAGGTGCCTCCGTGGCTTGGACCCCTTACTGTTCTCAGAATCAAAACTTTCCCACACCACCTCACTGAGACCGTCCGGAAGCCGTTGAGAAACCGGAGCCAGAAGCTCTCTACCTGGGCTCACTCCGACTATCCGCTGTATCTGCCGAAGGGCTAGCTGCGAGCAGAACCTGAAAGAAAACAAGGCAGACTATCCAAGGGAAGACCGATCCGAGGAGCGAGTAGCAAAAAGTGCCAGCAAGCACAACGACAAGGCCAGGAGAATCGAAACACCCACCCAGCAGCGGCACAGGGGATGCTTCCTCTGGTCCTCACAGATCAGGAGGACGCAGCAGCAAGCCCGAACGCTTGCTCGCCACATTCTGGTCCTTCTCTTGCAAACGCTTGTGCAGCTCTTTGTTGGAGCGGGTCCTTTGCCGTTTTCTCGGCAACTTGTGAGCACTTGCAAAGGCCGTGTTGGCCGTGCTGCGGACAAGGCGCAGCTCATTTGCATAACGCGATGTCTTGGAAAGTTCGCGCTGCTGGGATTTGAGGAAATCCATTAATGCCAGGGCCGTGTCCCGCGGCAGATGGTTCCTCGGTGCTTCACTCAGGCTAGCAGATTTTCTGCCAGACCAAGCGCCCAAAGTTCGCACGAACTTGTAACTCACCGACCAGGTGTCAGGATGTCAAACTGCCACCTCGAGTAGAGCGTTCCAGCCACAAGGAAGCGACCCACCGCAACTCCAGTGCCGTCAAGGTTCTCAAAGTTGATGGAAGCATCGTGCTCATGTCCGGGCTCCTTAGGAACATGGACGCCTGGACTCAACTGAATGTCCTGTGCAAAGCTGGTAAAGGCAGAGCATCTTCTAGAGACCTTGGCATGGCAGGACCTTGGCGACATGAGTGCTTTCCTCAGTCCCGTTGTCACAAGCTCTGCATAAGCCGGGTCAACCCTTTCAGGTGCGAGCTGGCGTCCCTGTCGCCATCATTCCTGGCTGAGGCTGCATCGCACAATCAAGGGTTCCAGATCCTCGCTCTGGCGATCCTGGGCGAGGTTGCCCTTGAGTTCGATGGTGTCTCTAGGGAGAAGTGAGGCAAAGGAAGCTGCCTCGTAGGACGCAATGACTGGCACTTGCTGAGGAAGCACCGAGCTCCTGAGTCACGGGCATGTGGGCTGCTTCCTCGGCCCAGGTTGAGAAAAGTGAGTCAAACCTGGGAGAAGCCACCCTGGCCTGGCCTGGCCCCCTCTGTGCCTCAGGCCTTTGCGATCCTGCAAATTTCGCAATGACGCCAAGGACACACTTGACACGGCAAAATTGCCATGAAGAGGGCTGGGTCGGATTGTCCTGGAGACCCCCGGAGTTCGTGCACTCAGGGGGCTCCAGCTCTGCCATCGCAGGAGAAGCGGTCATGCTGTAAGCATTGAAGGCTATGCGGCTATGTTGTTTGCATGTCCTCGGGTCTCTTGGGTAATGACTGTCAGCCTGTCTCTTCCAATTCTGAACTCAGCCATCAATGTTTCTGGAACTTCTCTCCGGGCCGACTAAGCCACTGATCTTGTATTGACGCCGAGAGCAAAGCAACGTGATGACATGCTCACGAGACTGCCTCAAGTAGGCACGACACGGACTACACACACACCGGTCGGCCTTCAACATGTTCAAGATGGCGCGCAAATGGTTGTGCACCTTAACGTTCTCCGTGAATGTCACGGCAGGGAACATAACCTTGCCAACTAGTAGTGTTCAGGGCCCGACATCTTTCCAAAGATCATCGGTCTTCTTTGATGGCGACCTGAGACGGCCAGCCCCGCTGATCATGCAGAATTGGCGCGAATTCCGGCACACGAAAAAAGGCTGAGGCCTTTGTAGAAAGCCGAGCTTCGAACTCAGACGAGCTCGGGCTGCTCAAAAGCTGCTCCACTTCATCCGTCAGCCTTGAAACACATCATCATAAAGCCTGGGCCTAAGGCCGTGCTCCATCAAGTTTCTCGATACTGGGCTGGTTCTATGATGAAAGAAATTTTGGGAAAATGGCTTCTGCACAGCATCGCGGGGACTGGGCCTCAGTGGGGCAGGTGATGGGATGACGAATCGACCACTTGGTAGGAATACTTGCGACATTCACATCCTCCAAGAGCAAAGCTGCTTGGTGGACTTGCGGGCGACGCCCACCGGCAAGCACCTGTCACAGCCATCAGCCATTTGTGGCATGAAAAACTCGGGCCTGGTCTTAGCTTCGGAAACCTTGGCGCGGCCATCCGGCGAAACAGTTCCTGAAGGGAAGTTGCAGACACACGGCGATCTTCAACTTTTCCCCGGAAGCCAACTGTCCTGTGATTTGAACAAGATACCCATGATGACACCTCAGCTGCAGAGATTGAGAGTAAAGATCGACATCCCTACGTCTGACGCACAGCATAGGATCAAGCAACTGAAGGCTGCTGCGAAACAATCTCCTCCAAACCCTGTCAGCAGGAGATTCCTGCTGTTAGCGCGGCCTGCAAAACAAAACCGCAATCGCAAGAAGCTGTCGACGAGTCCGGCGGATGATTGACGGTTCATTGACTGCTGCCAACGGGCGCACCTGGTCACGGCCGCTATTCCAGCATGATGCCTGGGATTTGACGGACGCCTGAATTCGAAGCTTTGGCAGACACGTTTCGTGACTGAGCGGCGGACGCTCTGGGGGGCTGCGCCTCACGCTTGAAATATAACGAGAGCAACGTTTTGCAAATGCTAAACCCTGTGCGAAAGGTTTCCCACAGAATGTGCCTGCCTGACTGCGCGCAGCCGAGGCTGACAAGCCGTATCAGGCCCCCGCCTCAGTTCATGAACTGCTTCGGTGGAGATGACAACCAGCCAGCAACTGAGAACCAAACCGCCGGGACCCTGCCTCCCTTTCCCGCACCCACCCAGTTTGCCTCAAGCTCAGCTGCGGAGTATAATGGCATGGACTAGGACCACCAGTTCTCAACACTTGTGACAACGATTTTCGTGGTGACAACATCATGTTTGAACAATCTATTTCGCGCGAATCCTTGCATTGTTTCTCATGTTTACAGTAGACTCGGTAATTTATTGACCCGTCGTCCATCCCAGCTTTGGGCTGGACACTGTGGTCTGAAGCCAACTAATGTGGGAATGAAACGTTGCTTATACGGTGTTACAAGTCTTCTGTCTTTGAAAACTGAAAGAATCGCGTGCTCACCCAAATGAACCCATCTCTCTGCACGTGAGCATGAAAACAAAGTTGCAGCATCTTATCGCAAAGTTTAAACTCCCGAGAGAATGCGGTTCGCGAAGGCCTTCTTTTTGAACCTAGGACTTTGCGTTGAAAGGTGAGGTCGAGGTCTGGCTGCTTTCAGCTGGACCCACGCATCCGCAGAACCGATTCTGCGTGAGACAACTCGTCCCTTTGGGCAGAACTCCCTGTTAAATTCCAATTATGTTCAAAAATTAGTAAGTAAATAGTTTTGCTTACTTCTTTCATTTTTAAAGTATTTTTCCCAAATTTATTTTTGTTTTGGTCCTTTTCATGTTTATTTTTCCCTCAAATTTATTTCTGTTTCTTTCATTCTTAAAGTATTTTTCCCTTAATTTATTCTTGCTTTATTCTCATTCCCTTTTGTATATTTTTCCCTTATAAATGTATTTTTTAATTCTTTCATTTTACATGTATATTATATCGTAAAACCGTTTGCCACTGCTTTTCATGTTTTCATATTCCAACTCTGCCATAATTCTATTTATTGCATATGTTGCTATATCTTGATTCTGTAGTTTATTATTCTTGCATATGCTAAAATGGTCGTGAACACAGTTTGGTTCAATTCTATCAATTTTTTGTAGTGTGTTTTAACAATATGTTTCAATATGCATGAGGGTTTGTTGTTGATATAGTTCGAGTTGCCCACCTCACCGAGTGTTTTGATGTTGTTGCCTCTCGTAGATTGTAGACGCAGCAGACGTTGTCTCCAATATCAAGTGCCCTTACCCTGGCAGGCACTCAACGGACACCTTTTTTCGCACAGCGTGCCGTCGAAGGTCTGTGCACGGGGAATCGCTCACACTGTATGGATCGGTAGCCAACAAGTACAACGGAGGCTTATGGGCGGCTATTGGCTTTGGCAGCTTCTTGAGCCAAAGCTCCGGATAAGCGGAGCATTAAAATCACGCCACCTCTACACTCTGCAAAGCAGAACAATAGATCGGTTTGACTGATTAATCACAGTCTGCTTCTGCTGCCCAGTGATGGTCACTCATACAGCTCATGTCGTGACACCTACGAATTGTACGAGGTATCGAGGTCTGTTCGCACGCCCCATGAGTTAGGCCCTCGGCCTTGCTCACATAGGAAGAGAGTCGAGTCGCGATTTGACCAGAAAAGTTGAATATTATGTCCGCCGCAACTTTGTAAACAAGTGTGAGCTGTGGCTTCCCAATTAGAAATGGCGTGACGCATGGCTGCGTCAGTGGCAATCTCATGAAAGAATACAATGGGAACGTGCGCCACTAAAGAACATGGCAGTGCCAGGATGAGCGCTTTGAAATTCCAGTGTCATTGAGCACAGCGTGTAGTAGGCATTGAGGAGAAGGATCACCTTGTGCTGTCGTTTTCCCAGCGACGATAATATCCTCGATCACGCTCGCGATCACGGTCGGGACGATCATGCGCTTTGCCTCTTCCTTTGCCGCATCTTCCTTTGCCTTTGTCACGCTTGCTGGTATTGCCACGATTTGGAGGTCGTCCTTTGGGCTCTGCTGGCCTGACAGCTGCACCAATTTTCTCTTGGGTCACCGGGCGATCGCTGACTCCGAGTTGTCCTGGGTTCATGTAGTCGCCACGCTGAGTGTGACGTATGGGCGCTGTCTGGTCGACTTCGCTGTGTACTTTGCGAGTATCATAATGTCGTAGTAGGCTTTTGGCCCGAGCATTGGCAGGTCCTGTAATGATCCTCTTTTGCCTTTGCTCTCTCACAGCTCATTGCCACGGCATGCGTACCGCAATACCCTGGACCCTCCAAGCGGGAAGCCGGGTGCGCCGAGCAGTCTCTTCATCAAGGGCTAGCTTTTCGGCGACGAATACCAGGGCGGGCCGGTGCCTGCAGCTCCATTCCAGTCCGGGCAACTGGCGTTGTTTTTCTGTTTTCGCCTTTATACGGGTGGCACATCGTTCACTATCCCACCCACAATCCTCACAGCGAGCAAAGCGGCAGCGCTATCTGACTAGACTCGAAGCCTAGGGCCTAGAGGTCACGCCCAGGAATCTGCAATGGCACATTTCTTCAGCCGCACTGGCGCTTGACACGGCACGTTGAAGACATTTCTGCGGCGCTGGACTCGGCACAGTTTCGGCATGGTCTTGGAGCTGAGTTGAGTTGGGTATTGAAGCTTCTACGCCGGCAGTATGTATAGTGTCAGCTTTCGCTGTTTTTTCGCGTCCGCTCACAGAGGGCGGGTACTGTTATTAGCAAGAGCCACCTGCCAACGTGCAAGATATCTCCGGACTTTGCTTTGACTCTGATTTTGTCTCAAAGGAAGCCTAGACGGAGATTGCATATGGCCGCACAAAAAAAGTAGTTGACGAGCACTTCGATGGTTGTAGTCGTCGTAGCTGTAGGGCCATTCATCATCATCACTGCCACACTGGATCAATGTACAATGTACAAGTAGTCATGAGATCCTGTGGGTGGCTGCCTGAGCATTGCGAAAATGGACTTGGCAATGACCTCCGCGACGAGAGTCTGCAAGATGGCGTAGCAACTCGCGTGCATTTCTTGAGGGGTTTGAGCTTTGACATCAAGATGGGTCGACGGGTTGCATAAATTCCTCCCTTGGCATACCCAATTTGATGAGCACCTTGCATGAGCTTGGAGAGCAACTGATTGGCGCGCATTTCCGAAACAAGTAAATCCCTTCGGGATCAGCAGGATCACGCAAGCCTCGGGGACAAGATCTCTTCATCCATGGCGTCCGGTGAAACCTTGGTGTCCGTGTCGACGCCACAAAGGCTGGCCAATTATCAAGAACATCATATCGATTTCCACCCACAAATATGTCGCGCATTTGTTCATACTTGAGATTGGTCCATTTCATGGCGTTGACCCACGACTTGTGCATACAACGCACCACGACAATGGACATGTAAGCGAACGAAACAGTTCTCGTGTCGATGCAGTACGCAGCTGGAGCGTTCGGGTAGTAACTGGGTAGTGGGGAACTTGCATAGACTTCTTGCTTGAGCAATGGTTGGGTCGATGATGTGTATGTTCCCTTGTACGGGCACAGGACGTCGCTCTGCAATCTCATCTTGGTCCTTATTTGCATCAAAGTCTTGTGGTTCCTCGTCAGGTTCGAGCATCATCGTCTTCGTCCTTGCGGATGTTGGCATTGGAAAATGTAGCAGCGATGGCCTTCTCCGTCAGGCGGCCGATCTCTTCACGTGAGACCTCCAGGGAGATTCCCGATGTGGGTCGTTCTCTGAAACTTGCACATGGTTTGAACACGGAGAAACATCTCGTACATCGGGCGAGAAGCTGGCCAATTCAATGCAAGTTGGACACCATCTAGTCCGTATCGATGTGTCTCTAGCATCAAGCTTCTTCTCAGGTCGCATGTTCTTGCTGGCAATGACAAGTGATAGCATGCGAGCATCCTCTTGATGACGTTCATTGTGAGCGGAGCTTGGGGAAATGCGCAAGATCCATTCGGTAGTTCGCAGGACACTCATGAGTTTTCGAATCTGTTATGACTGGACAAGAACAGAAGTAACAAGTCTCACGCAACAGCTAAGTAGAAGCAGAAACGTAGACAAAAGAAACGCAAATCTAGACAGAAGCTGCACCTGTTTTTTTTGACGCAACTAACAGTATGCGCCGGCTCAACCATGTGGCAGACAGAACGCGGAAAAACGCTTTGCAGAAAACAAGTCCAACTACAGAGCAGCAAACTTGCCACGCGAAAAAACATTTGGTAAGTTGAGTCACGCAAAACGCTTGGCAAGTTGGGTCTTCAATTGCAGTGCTCCTGGGTTTGCGGTGCCGTGGAGGCAGGTTTGGCCAGCTAGCGAAGAGGGCAAAACTTCTGTGCACTATGTCCAATCCATCGGCAGTTTGCGTTTTCTTTCGTCCTATGGTTCTGGGTTGCATATTTTTGCTTTAATAGTTTGTGTACTTTTTTGTCATCTCAATTTTTACATTTCATTGCATAGTTTTTGATTTTTAGTATAGTTTTGCTTTTTTTTTTCGCGTCTGCGCTTTGTTTTCGTTGCCCTTTTTTCCTTTCATGTGTTTTTTTGGAAACCGCAGAAGAAATGCAACAAAAAAAGCACACATGACCGAAACAAATGAAAAAAA